CCTGAGATTCTGAAACAAAACCCCTAGCATCTTGGTCAGGTCATTTCCTCTTCTTGGACTCAGTTTAGCAGATTGAAAATGAGGTTAGAACAATGTTTCTAAATTTCTCTTCTGTGAGGTGATTCTAGAAATCCTAAAACCAACCAAACTCTCAAAATAATGCAGACTGTATTTTTTCTTAAATATATTTAAAAACATGTAGTAAAATAGAAACACGTATATTGTAATTATTATTGTGTCATAAACTATCTTTAAGAGGTGGTGAGCCAGGCCTAGGCACACGAGGTAGAGGGTGTGCTGCATGGATGGGCAGTGATTACTGATGATGATGGTGGGGTCCAGACCCACCATCTACTCGGTGATCACTGGTCCATGCTAGGCCTCTTGTCTTGTAATTATGGTACAATTTTGTCATAGTTTGTGCTTTATGTTCTTCCTGCAATAAAAATGATTTAATTTTTCAAAATATTTTCACTCCAACATATGAATATACTTGGGATCATTTTGTGTAGCATTTAACTCCCCTATGAGACCATTTTGGCTACTTAGTTGAATCCAAGTGGCCCAACTCACATTCCATCAATGGAAGATGATTAAAAAAAAAGTTATTGTCAAATTTCTTAAGAAAGCACTAGATTGTAGGATCTTTAGATTTCCTTTTACATCAGGGAATCTATACTCATGTGGATATAATTCAGGGAATGAAAGAAGAAAAAACGTTTGGAGGCCCCATCCAGTAGGAACTTAGGGATCGACCAATCAAAGCAAAGTGTGTGTATGTGTGTGTACACCTGGGTGCACAGTGTGTGTGAGGGCAAAACACTCAGGTACAAGGAGGCTTGAAGCAAGGAGGCTGAAGGGATAGGGATTGCTCCCAGAGCTTATCAAGAAACACCTTATCTAAGGACTCCTTCCAAGGCCACCCGGACACACACAGACAGGTAGACAGACAGACAGGCTCACACACACACACAGAAACACACACATACTCAGACACAGAGAGGCGCAGACACACACACACAAACACTGTTTTGTATTCTTTTACAAGAAGGTTAGTCAGGTGCAGCCACAAGAGGAGACAGAGGAGGGGCTCAGGAAAACAAAGTTTGTTGCACTCATGGGTCCTAGAGACAGGAGGCACAGCACGTCACACAGGACTACGGGGAGAGACACCCTGGTGGCCGGGAAGCAGGAGTGAGGGGAGCCCTCAGTCCATGGAGTTTCTTGGGGTTTCTGTGGAAACAACAAGGCAAGACAGGGTGAGCAGTTTAGGACTGGCCAGTTTGAATAGTTTCACTGGGCTTTAGGGGTGAGTCCTAGTCGCTGGAGCAGGCTGTCACACTCACAGGTCCCAGTTGTCCAGAGGTGAGCGCCAGGGAGCCCTTTGTTGTTTATCAATCTAAATCTGCTCTTACTCAGGGTTGGGGGGGACAATTTTTGGGATACCTGACCCTGGGATGATTAAGGCATAGGAATATTGCTTCCAGGCCAGGTAAAGTAGATGTGACCTGGCTCTGGCTTGCTTAGTTTGTGTCCTGGCTAGATCCTTTGCTATCTCTAAGAAATGGGAGATAGCAGTCTCTGCTCAGCAGGAAAGGTTTTTTAAGATGCAAAAACATAATAATATACAGAAAATTAGGTAATATAATTTATATATACATATAAAACAGACACACGGGCTTCCCTAGTGGTGCAGTGGTTGAGAGTCTGCCTGCCGATGCAGGGGACGCGGGTTCGTGCCTCGGTCCGGGAAGATCCAGCATGCTGTGGGGTGGCTGGGCCCGTGAGCCATGGCCGCTGAGCCTGCGCTTCCGGAGCCTGTGCTCCGCAACAGGGGAGGCCACAGCAGTGAGAGGCCCGCGTACCGAAAAAAAAAAAAATCTTGGCTAAGACTAAGCAGGTGTATAGGCAGGGAAAGGAGACAGAGGAAGAGAAACCAGGCTAAAGAGGAGTAATTGGTATATCCTGACCCAGAGAGGAGTGGGGTCCGAGGTCCAGATGGAGGGCTTAGCCTTGGAAGGTGGCCATTCCTTCTGAGAGAGAGTGCAACTGATGAAACAGGGAAGAGGTCGAGGTTCAGGGAGAAGGGGTGGTCAGCTGAGCTAGTTCAAGTCACTTCTGTTTCCAGAGTGAGCAGTGAGGAAGGGTAAGTGGCTTGAGAAGAACTCACCAGCCCGCTAGAGAGGAATGAAAAGACTTTAGTTTTAACTCACACATATTTAGGATCTACTCTGTATCAAGTATTTTTGTTGAAATTTATTCTTCTAACAATATGTGAAATAGAAAGTATCTCCGTTTGCAGGTTCTAACGTTTTCCTTGCTTCATCTAAGCACGAAAAGAGCATGGCTGTGAGGAAAAGAGGGTCTTGCTTGTTCCAAGTCCGTCCTGGAGCTCAGAGACCGGACCTTAGTCTTAAGCCTTTTATAGTCTCCTCTTTCCTTGATTTTCCTCCTTTTTTTTTTTTCTCCTCACTCCTCACTCTCCAGGTTGCTTTCAGGAACTTCAAAGTCTTCTCTCAGCAGTTTGAAGACCAATTTACTTACCGAGAGCATCCTTGATAATAAAATAACTAATGAATGTAGAATACTTTATAGCTATTACTATATATGTACATGTGGGGTGTGTGTGTGTGTGTGTGTGTGTGTGTGTGTGTGTGTGTGTGTGTGTGTGTG